GAAAAACGAATTACGTGCTCTGAGAAAGACAGCATCTCTTGAAACAAAGATGGTTGTATTCTTCACTTTGATGATGTTTTGTAAGATGTTCCTGGAAATGTTCATTTGTATCTGGATATCTGTTATATGCCATTTTTCTTCTAGCAACAAGATACAATAAAAAGAGAAAGAAAAGAAGAAATTCTATTTCAAGGAAAACTGCTCTCTTTGAAAAATCTGGACCCAGACTACAAAGTAGGGCCCGAGGAAGGAGCTTGGGAGAAAGGAACCAAATCCGGAGCTCAGATTCAGCTCCAGCGGTCCGCCAGAGGACGGGGCTGTGGACCATGCAGGGGCTTCCGGAGGTCTGGGGTGAGGTGGAGTGCCCCGGCTGGAGCTCTGGCACTTTCAGAGCTCAAAAGCTGCACTTCTCAGCAGAATCCAGTTCAGAGGCCAGCGAGGAATGGCTGGGGCTCTTGGTTTGCTCATCAGAGTCACCATTCCTCCCAGCTTGGACGAACTGTTGTTTTTAGCAAGCAACTTTGTGAGCTCCCAAAAGCCTGAGAAAACCCCTCAGGTGGGAAAAGTGTCCTTCTCCCTGAACAGACGGGGACAGCAGGCGACTCCTCAGCCTTGCCCGTTGCTTCCGGCTGGTCTTAGCTCTGCAGAGAATTCTTGTCACAGCTCAAGAGAATTTTAGAAGCTTCAGGGTTTCTGAGAGATCATCAGGGGATCTTTAAAACTTGACAAATATGCTCAAAAAGTCTTACCTTTTAGACAGCAATGCCTCTGGTTTCTGCTTGGGCAAAGTGCCTCGAAGTTCTTTCCTTTCTGCCCCCTCATTTCACCTTGTTTCAGGCTCAGGGACCATCCCCAGGTGGCCACTGTGGTAGTGTTCTGGACGTGAGGTGAAAGACAGGAGGCTAAAGGAGGAGGGGAATGGGGCAAAACCCTCTCATGTGATTATTGGGAAATTAGCGTCTGCAGAGGGGAGAAACTTGCCCGTGCTCAGTTATTTGAGATACAAGCCCGGGCGTGCTGCCCCTTGGTGCAGGGCTGCTTCTGCTCTGGAACAACATGGCCAGAACCTCTGAGTCACGCCCACCCCCTGGCCAGTTATTTCAGATCCTTCACCTTCCTGCTGGATCACCAGGCATGTCTTGGACATGCTCTCAGGATAAAAAGCAAGAAGAAACACTGGGTCATTGACCAATGATCTGAGACAACCTTAGAACACAATATAGGATGGGTAGGTAGATAAGCAGGTAGATAGATACACTATAGTGGATATATATATATCATATATATAATCATCCTCACCAAAACAGAATACACATGCTTTTTTAATTTTAAAGAAAATAGTACAAAAATGAACAATAGCAAAATACCAATGATCTGAGACAACCTTAGAACACAATATA